AGATGCTTAACAGAAGTAAAGTGGGACAAACTTTCGCCTTGTATGCATCTATTAAAATCTACCGGAGTTCTTGAACCTCCAACAGTATCTTACTGGAAATATGTAGAAGCCACAATATGGAAAAGACAGATACAAGTTTTCAGGGGGCAAAGTAGTAAGAAAAGAACAAATAAATTTCAGAGAATAATAAAAACAATAGAAATGGTAAATAATTGTCTCTTCCTCTTCCCCATCTTTCAAAGGATTAGATGAACTAGATCTGTGTCATCCCTTTGCCCATTTTATTTAACACATCTTACATTATTTGGGTAAAAAAGAGAATCACTTCTAAATTATTTTTTTTCAACTATTGTTCTTATATACGCCAAGAATATTTAAATTTGTATGAACTCCTTTTTAAAACAAAAGCATAAGAAATTAAGAAAACCAAGTCCCTGTTTGAAGAAGGTAAATAACCCCTAATCCTTTCCATGTCATACCAGGAATTGGTTAGTAATTTAATTTTATATTCTAATTTATTAGAATAGCACATCATTTTATGACATAGGCTCTCACTGACTCACAAAAAAAATATTTATTTTTTAAGCCTTATTAGAAACCCAATATATAAAGGGATTGTTTATCACATGTTTCCTAACCCAGATACTCTTCAATTAAATTTGTAGGCAAGTGGCTGGGGACTTAGCTCAGTGGTAGAGCACTTGCATAGCATGTATAAGACCCTGGATTCAATTCCCAGCACTGCAAAAAGAGAAAAAAAAATGTGGGAAAAAATAACTTCTTATGACCTGATTACTTTTTTTTTCTCCAGTGGAGCCCAGTATATTTTCCCCAGAAATATCTTAATATAACATATGTATGAATCACAATAAGAAAATTCTAATCAAATTTGGAGAAATTGGTCATGTTGAGACACAAATGCGTTCCAAAAACACCCCTAGAAGAGCCCTGGGTGTAAGCTAATAAAGTCATCTTATTCATGGACTACTTGGAAATATACTGCAGGGAGCTGTAGCTTAAGGGAAGAGGATTAATTTCTTTGCTTCAATAGAATGTGTTAAAATCAACTCCATCCTGGTTTATCTGGGTAATAAGATTATTTACCAGGCTGGTTCCATGGTTACTGGGCTCAACCACCAATAGTTTTCATTGATTGGGAAAGACAACACATAAACCCATTTCAAAGAGTTCAGTCATCTGAGTTTCACAGTTTGCAGGTTCACTTTGTGGGTTCCTGTTGAATTAGAACCTGAATAGCCTACAGCTAAGCTTGTGTCATATAATATGACCATAATATGACCAAAATTATATAAATGTTATGAAAAGCTAAATAGTTCTGGATGTTAACACAAATCTCTTCTGTTATCCATACTCTATATCGAGAATTAAACTGTGACCCAATGTTGCTTTCCACTTAGGAATAAAACTACATTGCATCTTTCATTTATTTCCTGAAATACTTGTAGTAGCAATTATATCTTTTTAAGGACATTACTATAAGAACATAAGTAATCAGGACATAACTAATCACATTTTTTAAAATGCAATATTTTAAACTTATCAAATGTTCTAAAGGAGTTTTGATATGTAGGACACACAATTTGTAGACACTGTACATCTTAAAAAGAATGCTTGCAGTTTTCTGAGACTTCATATTGAATAATGCTTTATATAAAACATGAAAACAGCATTATTTGAAGAAATGGTCAATTTTGGTATCTGCCTTCAAGAGCTTACAGAAATTAATAAGTACACAAATATGTAAATTTAAAATACACATGTGAGATGTTAAAAATTACAAATGCCTTTAGAATCCTGGTTGGGGACTGGGGAGTAAAAGAGAACAGTAACAGATAAAGAAACCTTGAGGAAGCCACCAAATTTACCCTGTGCTTCAAAGAATTGGATAGAATTTAAATAGGTACAGTGTATTTGGAAGAGCACTCTCCTTGATGAGAAAAGAGCTTCACAATTCCTTTTTACCATCTAGAAAAATGCAAGAAACTTATTAAGAAACCCCAAAGTGTTTAGGAGGGGACAGAAAATTTTCTTTCAGGAAAAAAATACTCTGTTTAGCAAGTGGAAACTAGGTAAATTTCGTTAAAAGTGAAAGGACATGTTTATATCAAAAGTCTAAGAAAGCATGGATCAAAAACACATTTTTTTCTTTTGAAACAAGTGTTGTACAACAATTCACTTCTATAAAAAGGTTAAAAATGCTAGTCAACAAGTATCATTATATGTGGTAGCTAATAGAAAAAAACAGCAATATAAAAATAACTGATTTTTTAAAATATCAGCAAGTATTTCATTCATTGTATATAGTTCTGATAAGGCCTATGAAGACCATCATTTGTAAGATTATAATATAGATGTTTTTAGAGGTTTCTGATAATTTGTACGTTGTAAAGACTATCAGCTAGTTCTTTTTACTCTTAGGAATAAAACCTTGAATAAAGCAGAGAAAGATTTATTTTTATTATTTAAATACTTAGTGCATAGTTTAATACTTTATTGCATTGTAGATGATGCTAAGTTTTATCAAAGTTGCCACAAATGTACTAAAGTTTGCATAGATTAGACAGAAATCAATGGATCCCTCCTGTTAAATTCCTAATGTGAATATGACCCAGAATTCTCTAACCTAGAAATGGACAAGAACCATTCAATAAGAATGCTACATAAACAAGCAAGCATTACAGGCTGTTGAAACAGACATAAAGGTTTGAGGATGGAAATTGTGGTGTCTAGTTCAATGTAACATTAAAACTTGAATAGTTTATTTCTTCTTTCCTTTCTCTTTACATCTGCAGTATCATAAAGGAACAATATTAATAATAGGGTATTTATGATAATGGTACTTGTCAAACTCTAATATCTGAATGGTACCATGCTTTTGAAACAGACCTATATTCAATGCCACTGAAATTCTTTGTGCTCTATGGATTGACTTTCAAAAATACATGTCACATTAAAAGAAATAGAAAAATCTTCTGTTCCTATGTAAACAATAAAATCAGGCCAGAAACCCTCTCTTAGCATCTGTATGGTTAGAGTTTTCTTATATTTCTTCCCATGGTACCTTTCAAGAAGTTTAATTTCTATTTTCTGTTCTCAGAAGAATAAGAATTACTCATTTTGTTTTCGATAAATGAATTACTTTGAGAATCTTTGTTGAGTACTTTACCTAAACTCCACCAACGGATACCATATAATTGCAGGCACATTCTTGATTATCATCAAGATATATTGCCGTGATAACTTGAAATCCTTGGCAAATTTAATGGACATTTTATATAGTGCATCTTGGCTTGAAAATGTCAAGCAAAAAAAAGTCAAAGCAACACAGTCTATATAAGCTCTCCCCTGATGTGAAGAGCTGCCTCAGACACGCAGCTCTGACTGCCGGGTTTCTCATCACAGAGCTAAATGACTCGAGTGTTATCAAACTTATTTCTACCAAGTACTCAAGTACTAAAATGACAAATCATAGGGATGGCTGTTAGCCTGAAGACACTTCTGTTCCATTATTTAAAGTCTGTTTTTTTTTAATGTCTGAGATTTCTATGTGGAAAAAATAATGAACTTTAAGAAATGTCACTTTTACTAACAGAAATTATGGCTTGAACACCTGAATATGAATATTAAATACAAAAAAGTACATTTAAATAATGTTAAGGTTGTGACACAAACTGACAAAAGCAGCAAAATTCAAAGTTAAGGATGACACTCCACCTTAACTCACCCCGTTATGAGGGGGAAAGGGCACCAGAGTGTACGGCTGGAAACGCTATCCTGGCCTTCATTCCCTGCCACCTGATTGTGTCACATAGTGTTTTACTCTTCATACAATTTAATTGGTTTTTGGCATTTGGCATTCCCTCTCTTTTCTTAAAAGAATTTTTGGTGCCCATTTATAAAATGTCATTTAGAAACCTATACATATTGCTACTGTCCTTTGAGGGTCACTCTTGAAAGTGATATCATTTGAGCTGTTTTGAGTGTGTGTGTGTGTGTGTGTGTGTGTGTGTGTGTGTGTGTGTGAGAGAGAGAGAGAGAGAGAGAGAGAGAGAGAGAGAGAGAGGGAGAGAGGCTGGGCATGTACTCATGTGTGTTGTAGAGAGGCATTTTAAGTTTTACAGATATTAGTTTCTACAGTTCTCCAAGGAAAGCAAATCATAGGGTCATTGTGATTCGTGTGATCTTGCATTTTCCAAGAGTCCTGTTTCCAATTTGCAAATCAATGAATATTTGCTACCAATACATCCACTACGTTTTCTTGGGTTAAAATTTTTGAGCGTACATTAATACTTGTTGTGGCACATTATATAAAATGCTAATGAAAATAAGATGATTAGTGGCAGTCAACTCTATGTCTCACTTCCAGCATTTATCCAGTAATAAAGCAAATGTGAAATAAATATGCTATGTTATATTACAAAATAATCCTAGAGAGTATCCTGACCAAATTTTTTATGGCTACATAAACAGGTTTTCTCAGACTTATTTAGTCTGCCTGAAACACCCCCAAAGAGCCCCTCACTCTCCATTGAAGACATTTCCACTCCCCACTCTCTTCTTTCTCATCAGTAACAGAAGCTATCTTTGTTTTATGAGTTGACATTGCACAATGTCTCAAGATCATTTTCATCTAAATCTATTGAGGCCAAGTTGCCTAACACTAATGCCAGTGGCACCAAAAAAATTAAATAATAATAATAATAAATGTAATTAAACATAAATAATCAAATTCAAGATAGTTAAATCATATTTAACTCAGTAGAATATAAAGTCTTTTCTAAAATAAGATATATAATATAAAGAGAAAAACTTTTCCAGTATGGCCAACAAGGATACAGGTGACAAGACAGCATATAAATCAGAAGTCATCAATGATGATAACTTGTGAGATCATAATTCACTGGTTGTCACCATTCCCAGATCCTGAATCTACCCTTTCTTTCCTGTCATAGGATTTATGCTGACCCAAGAATGGAGTGGAGCCTCTTTTTTAGCAATGTCTGAACACATTTCCTCTCCTGCTGAACAGCAGCCCAGCTACAAAATCAAGGTTGTCCTCATCTCCAATAATCCTGTTTCCTCCCATGTCTTTTTGTGAAAGACACATCCTGACACATGAAACTCAAGGTTTTGGGTTTAGGGTGATATTGGGCTCATAGAATGAGTTTTGAGGTGCTACCTCTTTTCTGAATGAATTGAAGAGTGTTTATATTAGTTTTTCTTTAAAGATCTTGTATAACTTGGCTGTGTTCTGGGTGCATCCAATCCTGGGCTTTTCTTGGTTGGTAGGTTACTGATGGTGTCTTCTATTTCATTACTTGAAATTGATCTGTTTAAGTTGTGTATATCATCCTGATTCAATTTGGGAAACTCATATGACTCTAGAAATCTGTTGATGCCTTTGATATATTCTATTTTATTAGAATACAAGTTTTCATAATATTTTCTTCTGAATTTCTGTAGTGTCTGTTGTTATATTTCCTTTTTCATCACAGATGGTAGCAATTTGAGTTTTCTCTCTCCTTCTCTTCATTAGCATTGCTACATGTTTGTCAATTTTATTTTTTCAAAGAACCAACTTATTTTTAGTCAATTTTTCAATTATTCTTTTGTTTCAGTTTCATCGATTTCAGCTCTGATTTTAATTATTTCTTGTCTTCTACTGCTTTTGGTGTTGATTTATTCCTCTTTTTCTAGGGCTTTGAAATGTAATGTTAAGTCATTTATTTGTTGACTTTTTCTTCTTTTAAGGAATGAGCTACATGCAATGAACTTTCCTCTCAGTACTGCTTTCATAGTGTCCTAGAGATTTTGATATGTTGCATCTGTGTTCTCATTCACCTCTAAGAATCTTTTAATCTTCTCCCTGACATCTTTTGCAACCCATTTTTCATTCAGTAGCATATTATTTTGTCTCCAGTTGTTAGAATAGCTTTTATTTTTTATTTTATCATTGATTTCTAATTTCATTCCATTATGATCTGGTAGAATGCAGGGTAGTATCTCTACTTTTTTCTATTCGCGTCTGTTTTCAAGAAAAATTCATGTGCTGCTGAAAAGAAAGTGTATTCATTCTTTGAATGATGAAATATTCTATGTATATCAGTTAAGTCTAAGTTATTGATTGTACTATTGAGATCCATAGTTTCTTTGTTCAGCTTTTGTTTGGAAGATCTATCCTGTGGTGAAAGAGGTGTGATAAAATGTGTATATCTTCCTGATTTTCAGATTATTGTGTTGTGGTCTATTTGACTTTTGAATTTGAGAAGAATTTGATGAATGTAGATGCTCCATTGTTTGGGGCATATATATTTATTATTGTTATATCTTGTTGATGAATGTTTTCCTTAAGCAGTATGAAATTTTCTTTATCCCTTTTGATTCACTTTGGCTTGAAGTCTACATTATTTGATATGAGGATGGAAGCCCCTCCCTGCTTCCGCAGTTCATGGGAGTGGTAAAATTAGTCTCTTGGAGGCAGCATATTGTTGGGTTATTTTTTTTTATCCAATCTGCCAGTCTATGTCTTTTGATTGGTGAGTTTAAGCCATTAATATTCAAGGTTATTATTTAGACATGATTTGTATTCCAGTCATTTTTATCTATTTTTGTTATTTAACTTGACTTGGTTTCTCCTTTAATTAATTTTTCCTTTAGTGTAATACTTTCCTCTGCTGATTTTCATTGTTGCTTTTCAATTTCTCTTCATGGAATTTTTGCCAAGGATGTTCTATTGTGCAGGCTTTCAAGTTGTAAATTCTTTTAACTTTTGTTTTTCATGGAAGGTTTTTATTTCATCATCAAATCTAAAGCTTAATTCTGTTGGATATAAGATTCTTGGTTGGCATTCATTTTCTTTCAGAGCTTGGTATATGATGTTCCAGGATCTCCTGGCTTTTAAGGTCTGGGTTGTAAAGTCTGCTGAGACATGAATTGGTCTCCCCCTATATGTGATCTGATTCCTCTCTCTTGTGGCCTTTAAGATAACCTGTAAGGATAACCTGTATTCTAAGCATTTTCATTAAAATGTGCCTTGGTGTAGATATGTTGTAATTTTGTACATTTGGTGTCCTATAAGCCTCTTGTATTTGATTTTCCAATTCATTCTTCATGTTTGGGAAATTTTCTGATATTATCTCATTCAAGAGATTGTGCATTCCTTTGGCTTGAAACTCTGTGTCTTCCTATATCCCAATAACTCTTAGATTTGGTCTTTTTATGCTATCTTATAATTCTTGGATGTTCTGCTCATGATTCCTTACCATCTTCACTATGTGGTCAACTTTATTTTTCAGATTTTATATTTTATCTTTATTATCTAACATTCTGTCTTCCAAGTGATTTAGTGTATTGGTGATGCTTTTTATTTGGTTTATTGTTTCCTTCATTTCAAGTATTTTTTATTGTTTTTTTTCCAGAATCTCTATCTCTTTCTTGAAATAATCTTTTGCTACCTGTATTTGTCCCCTTATCTATTTGTTGGTGTGATCAGTGAATGCTTGTATTTGATCCCTTATCAGTTTATTGGTGTCATCAAAGGTTACCTGTATTTGCTCTCTTAAATCTTTGTTGGAGTGATCGATTTTTACCCGTATTTGCTCATTGAGGTCATTCTTTAATTCACAGATCATTTTAATTATGAGCATTCTGAACACCTTTTCTTGACATTTCATGCACTGTGCTGTCCAAGGGTTCTATTATTGTAGTATCCTGGTTTGTTTGGGGAAATTTCCTCCCTTGTTTTTTCATTTTGTCTACGTGATTTCCTTTTTTACAGTGTGGATCTGAGTTATTACAGTTTCTACCCTATAATCTTATAGTATCTATGCATATTATCTGTACCTCACCTTGGTGTTGGGCTTCCAGACCCTGCCAGTGTTTCAGGATGGATGCTACCACAACTGTAGGTGGTGGCAGCAATAGAAGAAGATAACTTGAGATAGCAGTGGAGGTACCCCAAGATAGATGCAATGTCTCAGAGATGGGGCTGAAAGGATGGACCTTACACTGGCTTTGGGATGCTTACTCTAAGATGCAGCTACTTCTAGGCCCTGTCTGTTGTACCACAGTAGAGCTGTATGAGGAAGCCCATGCAGATGGCTGCAGTGTCTCAAGATAGAAGTGGGTTAGACTAGGCTCCAAGTTGGTGGGAGGGATGGACCTAAATTTATCCTGGGCCCTGGCTCCCACACAGGTCAGTGCTGGTGCCATCTGGGCTCTGCCAGTGACTTTATAGACCTGGGCGTACCATGGGTCCAAGTTCCTGTGCAGGTCAACGAGGCAGGTCTGGGCCGAGCCAGTCTTCGGCAGCTGTCTGCCAGTGAGCAAGGCAGTCCTGGGTGGAGCCTGAACTCTGATGGGTGTCTCTGAATAGTCTATTTTTAAGTTTAACTTTTAAAAGCTTTTCCTTGAAATCAGGACCAAGACAAGGATGCCTATTCTCACTGCTTCTATTCAATATTTATTGGACATTTTTTTTTTATACAGGAATTTTATACAGGAGTGTTTTCACATTGTAAAAATTATACAAAATGTACAATTTAAATAAGAGACATAACATCACAAAACTATTAAAATCTCTGTTGTTTCTAGGAGTTTACTTTTCACTGACACTTTTAACTGAGTTACCAGATTAAAATACAAAAGTATAGATTTCAGGTTTTTACAGTTGAACATTTTTGTTTTGTTTTCAGTCATTGCTAAAAAGAACAAGTTAGAAAAGTGCCACCAATATAATTGATAAGCTAGAATTAGACAAAAGATTGGAAACATAGGGACAACCAGAAGAAATGGTGGTGACTTGGACCTTTTTTGAGTATTCTCATTGGAATTAACAAATTATCAGATTTTAAGCATGAAAAAAAAACAAGAGAAATGAGTCCATATGTAATAGGATTTGGGTTTTTTTTTAATTTTTTACTTAGAACTTAAGTTTACCATTGTACTTAAGAAAGGTCAGAAGGTGCCATTACCCAATCAATGAAGGAAATACGGGAATATTCAAAGGGGAAAAGTCAAGCCAACAAGCAGAGAGCTTCTAAACAAGACTCCCAGCTCTCTATTTTTTCCTGTGTAATAAATTGCCTTCCAGGATGTTCAATGGAAGCGACTGGCTTGTTCCTGCAGATGGATTATGAGTGGTGGACACAGCTGTGCAGATCTGGCACATAGAGGTTTTTTTTCCAGATTTGCCAGCTCTCTAACCTCCTTCACCCCACAGTTGTTGCTCAGAGTCCTCTAATCCTCCTCAGAGAACACATGAGTTAAGCCTGGAGCCTGCCTTTCCTACCCTTGCCCCCAAAGATAACTTCTCATCACAGTAAGAATATTAATTTTTTGAAACAAATAGTTTTTGAATCAAAGAAAATATATACAATATAAAGGCTTATTTAATTTCCATTTACATGAAACCCATGTCTATTCCTGCCTTTAGAAATTTGACATCCATATGACCAATTCAAGCTAATTCATTGCTGAAAAAAAAAATCTGCTATACAAGTCAAGAAAGAAGAAGACTGGTTTCAGGACCCCAAACATTTATCTAGATGTCAGGTATTGGCATGAGATTAAAGCATATGACCAATAATAAATATCAAAATAATGTTTTAACCACACAAAGAGTTAAATTGTAAAGAATTTCACATCCCTATGGTTGAACTAAAGAAACTAATAAAACAATTAGCTGGGTAAAAGCTAGATTTTTCTGTCTTATAAACCATTCAATTTGTATATTAATAATAATGATGATGATGATGGTAAGTGATCTAGCTTGATTAATATTTTTCATCAAGCAAATGGGAGATATTTTCCCTTGAGTATTTTATTCATTCATTCATTAAGTCAACAAATATTATTGACCACTTGCTATCTGTCTACCAGGTTCTAGTGCTTGAGATATAATAATGAACAAAAAGTTCCACACTTAAAAACAACAAACCTACAGATATCTTGGACCTCACTGAATTTAAATTGTAGCACAGGAAAGACATGATAAGTAAGAGACATAAAAATAAGCAATACGGTATTTTTAAAAAATGCTTGCTATGTACAGAGACAAAGCAGGAAAAGAGGTGCTAGACATTCTTAGAGATGCAAATTCAAACAGTTGATCAGGACAGGTCTTGTTGAGCAAAACAAGAGGTGAAAAGTTATTCTGGAGGAAGAACATTCCCTTCACACAGAATAGGAAGGAAAGTGACAGTGTGGCTGGGTAAAGGACAAGAAAGGGTGTGAGATAGGGGATGAAATGGAATAAAGGTATCTGTGTCAAGCCATTGTGAATACTGCATTTTTTGGTGAAATGAGAAACTATGTGAGGTTTGTGAACAGATAAGAAAATGGTCTAACTTGTTTTATAAAGATCTTGTTAGCTGTGAAATCCCTTTGGACATGGAAGTATGAGATAAACATAAAGACAGTGATCAGACTTTTGCAGTAATTTGGGTGAGATAATGAGTGCTCTGAAACCCAAGGAGAGGGTGGTTTAATACTTACATATGTATATGTATTTACATATATACGTGTGTATGTGTGTGCGTGTGTGTGTATACATACAACTGAATGGAAAAAAAATGTTTGTTCTAGTTTTCAAGTGAGTTTTAAGGTAAGACTGACTATTAAAAATACAAGTACAGAGAAGGAAAGTTGGAAATGTATGCTACCAAATTGTCAACTATACATGCATCTTGGTATTAAGATTCTGAAATGTCTTTTCTTTCTGCAAATTTCTAATGATTTGTCATGCTGACATAGTGACTTTCCAAAGATATTATGAATATGCTCAATATCTGAGAAGGCTGATGGGAATTTACTACCAATTTAGACCCTATTGGTTTACTTGATATTTCAAATTGTGCAGTCAGAAACTTCAAAAGCAGAAAGATGAAGAAAAAGTGAAGCATATCTGTTCTTTTTTAATTTCAAGGAAAATGAACAGACTCTACACCTGGATCAATAGCCTTGGCTGCTGATGTGCATTTCGGGGTAATTCCTGTCTGGTAGTTTCTGTACCTGGAACCAGACACAGGAGGATAGGGGCTGGAGGGAGGTTTGAACCAAAGTTAAAGATGATAGTGCAGCCCAAAATTCTCCAAAGTTTGTTAAGTCAAAAGCAATTTGCTGGAAAAATTAAAAGTTATTTTTAAAAAGAGAAAATTCTTGGAAAATTTTGCCTTCTATATGGTTAAACTTATTTCCATCAGAGCTTTTCAGAACCTTTAATATGCTATCTTCCATCACTAATATCCAATAGGGTAATAAAGTATGCTCTATTTCTCAGTGTTATGAGATCTAGCCTGCAGTGTGGTTCAAGGGGCCAGGAGTCTCTCTCTCTCTCTCTTGTGCTTATTTTATAAGAGTCCACATCCCATTCTTGGAGTCTCTGCCCTTATGACCTTATCACCTGCCTAAGTCCCCACCATCTAAGACTAACACTTTGGAGGTTAAGATTTCAACAGACATATTTGGGGGGACATTCAGACAATAGCAATGAAAGCGGTATTCCACTAGACAGGTTTGAAAATACACAAGGAAAAAGCAAGGAGTATTGCGATATTGAGTGGCATTTGTTAAGAAAGCTGATAGCATTTTGCACACTTTGTATTGAGATTATGTCATTTAAGATCTTTATGAGTCACCTATAATGTCATAATCCCACAAACTCTTTAGGTGAAAAATAATAATAATAATAATAATAAGCAAAAAAAGAAGACAATGAGTGCTTTCACTTTCTTTTCTTCCGATTCTGAACAGATGCACTCCAGAAAAATGGTGGTGTCCTTTTGGTAAATCAGAATGTCAGCTGAATATTTTTAAAAAGAAGAAGAAGGAAAAAAAAAACTCCTGGACTTTCTCTGAAAGGTTAAAATGGTTGAAGTAAATTTAGTCAAAGTAAATGACATCCAGTGAAGAATACAAGGAAACCATATACATTTATAAATGCTTTCACTTAAATTCTAAACAAGCAATTTACCAACCTATAATTTCAAGAGATTGTGAAGTGATTCTGACAAACTCTATCAAAAATTTGAAGTGGTAAAGAAGTGATGGGTGGACAAAAAAATACAGGTTGATAAAAATATTAATCTAGAATTTCAGGCATCTTAATGTCACAATCTATGGTTATGAGTAACCGCTTGGAAATGAAAACTCCTCTAAGTGGCTGTTGTCCTTTTCCTGCCCTCATGGTACCTAACCAGCTGTAGCTGACATCAGCTTAGGAAGTAGACACATTGCTGCACATCAGAGGCTGTTAGAAACATGCATTGTCAGCCAGACAACTAGCTTGTGATAGAATTTTGGAATGCAAGCTTTGTTCTCCACTCAGACATGAAGGGGGTTTAGTCATGATTTTAAAGAATTATTTCATTTAGCAGACTTTACATTTAACTGAATAAAGTGAAATTAAAATGAAATGCAAAGAAGTAAAATAACAATGTAAGTGTCTTATAAGAACTAACACTAATGTTCCTAAACCAGCTCATCCCCTAACATGTTTGACATCAGAAATTATCAAGATTGATCAGTGGTTACAAATACCAATGCCATAGACAGAGAAAGACTGATCTCCTCATGTAAGAAAACTTAGAAGTATTTTTAGCATTTTGCTTTAAGATAAATTTGACACCTTGATTGTATCTTCATATTTCTTTAGTCCTTAACAACTACAAAAAAAAAAAAAAACCTTTGCCTTTGCATGTCATCTTAGCATGCTCAAGTTTAGATATTTGGAATACTTGGAACTTTCTGCTTGTTGGAAAAGAATGATTGCCTCATCTCTCCTTTGTGTGGTCTTTTGCTAACACCAGAGTCTCTCCCCTTCACTCCCTAATCTCCTCAACAGCAGGCTCAGGCTCATCATCTCTCTCCACAGTTTTATTCTTCTGGTCTTAGGAATATCAGTGTCCACACAGATGGAGTTTTTAGCCCTCAAGTCACTCATTCCTTGATGTCAGCTTTTAGTTTTGTCTCCCTTCCTACTGGGTGGTTCTCTCAAGTACGGGGATGGGCAAACTATACCTGTGGGCCAGTTACTTCTTTGTTTTTCATACATTATATTTTTAGAGCACATTTAGGTTCACAGCAACTTGTGAAATCTTTCCTGCATACCCCACCTCATGCATATATAACCTCCCCTGGTGTCCACTGGTTACAATTAGTGAATCTACACCAATACATCATTACCACCCAAATCAGAGTCTACATTAAGGTTCATTCTTCCAGTTGGACATGCTATGGGTTTGAACAAATTCATAATGACATATTCACCATTATAATATCATACAGAGTAGTGTTACTGCCCTACAAATACTATATGCTTTGCCTATTTATCCTTCCCACTTCCTTACTCCTGAATACCACTGATCTTTTTACTGTCTCCATAGATTTATCATAGAATTGGAAGACTATGTCACCTACTCTATTTGACTTTTTTTTCACTAAGAAATATATATTTGAATTCCCTCCATGTCTTTTTATGGTTTGATAATTCATTTTCTTTTCATCACTAAATAAAAGTTTGGTCTGGATGTAGTACAGTAGATATATCCACGTATCTACTGAAGAACATTTTCAATTGCTTCCAAGTTTGGGCAATCACGAAATGCTTCTATAAATATTATGTGTAGGCTTATGGGTGGACATAATCTTTTGACTCCTTGGGTAAATACTAAGACATGTAATATGGATTAAATATTTGTTTTACTCCAAAATTCTTATGTTGAAGTCTGAAGTCCTAAGGTGATTGTATTGGAATGTGGGACTGGTGGAAGTACATAAGGTTATGCAGGCCTAGCTCTCATTAATATAATTAGTACCCTTAAAAATGAAAGACCTCAGAGAACTCCCTAGAGCCTTGATGACTGTAAATCCCTACACACAGAATCCATCAGTTCTTTGGGCTTTCCAGCCTTCGGAACTGTAAGGAATAAATTTCTGATGTTCCCAGCCACCCAATCTATGATATTTTTGGTATAGCTGTCTACATAGACGAAGATCATGATTGTTGAATCACGTAAGAATAAGTTAAATTTTTGTAGGAAACTGACAGCCTGCCTTCAAGGTTACTGTACCACTTATATTCCCACCAATAATAAGTGAGAGTTTCTGTTACTCCACCCACATTCTCCCCAGTATTTGGTATTGTCAGTGTTCTGAATTTGGGTGCTCCTAATAGTACTGCTACCTCATTGTTCTAAGTTGCATTTCCATGAAAACATCTGATGTTGAATATTTTTCATATGCTTTCTATCCCTCTATATAATGTCTTTGGTGACATTTATATTAAGGTTTGGGGCCAATTATTTAATTGAGTTGTTCAGTGTCTTATTGTAAATTTTTATGAATTTTATTAATATGTATCAACTGTCTTTTATCAGATATGTCTTTTGAAAGTATTTCTCCAAGTCTCTGTTTATCTTTTCTTTTTCTTAACAATGTCTTTTTAAGAGCAGAAATTTTATCTTTACAAAGTCTAGCTTACTAATTTTTGTTTTTCAAGGTTTAGTGTTGTATCTAAAAAGTCACTGCCATACTCAAGATCATTTAGATTTTCTCTTTTTGCTATCTTTAACCTTGTCATACTTTGTAGTTTTGCATTTACATTCAAGTGTGTGTAGGATCTGTCTCTCCTGTCACTCTACATATAAATGTCCAGTTGTTTGGACACCACTTGTTGAAAAAACTATCTTTTCTTCATTTTTTTAGCTTACTCTTCTACCAAAAATCAATTGACAATGTTTATTTGGGTCTATTTCTGGGATCCCTTTTCTATTCTGTTGATCTGTTCCTCTACCCAAAAATCAATTGATGATGTTTATTTGGGTCTATTTCTGGGCTCTTTTTTCTATTCTATTAATCTGTTCATATATCCTTTTTGCCAATATGACACTCTCTTGATTACTGTAATCAAGAGATTGAAGTTGAGCAGTGATGTTTCTCTGACTATACTTTTTGCCTTTCACATTCTGTTGACTATTCTGGATCTTTAGCCTCTTCATAAAAAGTTTAGATTCAGTTTAGAATCAGTTTATTGATATGTACAAAATAACTTTATGTGATTTGACTGGTATTCCCTTGAATCTCTAGGCCAAGTTTAAAAGAACTGACATCTTGCTAATCTTGGTAATATGCTCTACCTATCAATGATTATGTTGTATCTCTCCATTTACTTAGTTGTGTTTTTGATTTCTTAAATCAGAATAGTGCAGTTTTCCTCATACAAGATCCTGTATATTTCTTGTTAATTTATACTTTCATTTTGGGAGTGCCATTGTAATGGTAATACTTTAATTTCAGATTACATTTGTTCACAGCTGGTATATAAGAAAACAATTGACTATAATCATTCTTTTTTCATACATTCTCTCTCTTTTCATAATATTTACTTGGAAAAAAATTCAAGCCTATATAAATGTTCTCCATCTGTTTTTTGTTGTTGCTGTTTGTTTTGAGGTTTTATTGTTTTGTTTTGTTTTTTTGTTTTGCTCCGTACTCTGCAGTTGAATATAACTGGAGAAATACACAAGGCACATCCACCAGTTTCTCTTTCACAACAATAACAAAACCTAAATGTATTTTAATTTTATAAAAACTATTCTATTTCTCTGACAAACTCATCCTCCTTGGCATCTATTTCATACTTTTATGCATCCTCCTCAAACTGTCATGCCTCCTGTGTCTCAACAAATGAGTGGAAGCAATCAGAAAAACAGAAGCAATCAGAAAATACATTCCACATACTCCTAGCACCTCAAAGACACTATGCCCATTACTTGTGAATCAGTGGGCAATATTGCTCAATATCATATATCCAAAACATAAGAAAAAATCATTTTGTACCATCATTTCCCATTAGAAAATTAATTCCACTTTAGTATAAATATTATTTTGAGGCAAATTACAGAACAAAGTGAACCAAGAAAAATTCCAGAGGCTTTCCAAGTATATGTTTCTTAATCCTTACCACAACTCTATAAGGTTGATACTTTGTCTACTTTTACATTGAGGAAACTGAGACACAAGGAAGAAAATGTTTAGGCAATCATGATAAAGTTGAAATTCCCCCCAAATCATGTGACCTAACCACTCTGTTCTCCTCTAGTAACCCTTTTTTATTTTATTTTTTAGTATTAATTTCTTTCACTCAGTGGGTTTTCTGTCTTTATCAGATTCTTTCAAAACTATATCTCCTACTTCAAGTATAATAAAATTCATACACTGTCATTGCCCTTCAAATAGACATAACACAGATGTGATCATAATGATGGCAAAAAAGCACATGAATGAGTGTTCTAAAGCATTAGTCATCTATAAAATTCAAATTCAAAAAAGGACATATATTTTACACTCACTATCATAGCTAAAATTAAAATAGATGAAAATATCAAAAGTTGATAGGGATGTAAAGCAACTAGAACACTCACACGCGACTGGTAGATACATAAAATATTTCAACCTGTTTAGAAATGTTTGGCTGTTTTTCATAAAGTAAACATAGCCACCTTCACAACTTTTCAATGTGCTGTCTTCAGGTCTACTTGCTCAATCCCCTATTCATCCAGAGATGATTGCCTTCTAGGGAAGGGAAGAGTGTTTGGACACTGATGGCAGCCTCAGCCTCTCTCTCATTTCATGTCTCCAGACCAGAGTACTTCAAATCAAACTCCAGACTTCAGATTATTTTACTGCACATACTTCTGTGAGTATCTTTAACAAGTTCCAATTGTAGTCAAGGTGAATTAAACACACCCCTTGGCGTCTCCTCCCACAGAATGTAACTACAAACACTACATAAAATACACAAGGCAGAATTCTAAATATACATATGAGAATTCTAAAATACAAATGGTAACTGGTACATGTGGGAAAGAAACCAGTACCTGAAAGCCACCAAACTGATAGTTTCACATAGATTGCTCCTTCAGTATCTTTTGGTCTGGACTCAAAAGCTTCATAAAATGTGGACCTAAGATCAATATCTGGATAGAAAAAGTTCTAAGAGAAATTTTCTATTTCTGGTCCAAGGAGTAGGAAGGGAAGCCTATTATGGATCAGAGATAGTGCAGCAAATCTCATGATTTTTGTAAAAATTTGTTCTTCTTTGCATTTCCCTTTACCTTTAGTCCTCAGGAAATTCCTTGACTATAATGGAGGTGATAGCACAATGGATAGGTATGTGCAAAAATTCCAAGGATAGAACACTTTCTTTCTGGATAAACTGTTTTTGTTTTGTTTTTTGTTTTTTAACTGTATGGTATAAAATTTCCTTTCTTCTGCCCCTTCCCATTACTGTTCAAACTTAGAAATAGAAACAGTCATATCATGGGCACAGAATAGCAAAGAAACCAAAGCTCGAACCAAAACATTATAGACAGAAGAA